CTAGTATCCAAAATCTGTAAAGAACTTATCAAACTCAACAACCAAAGAACAAATGATCCAATCAAGAAATGGGCAGAAGATATGAACAGACATTTTTCCAAGGAAGACATCCAAATGGCCAACAGACACATGAAAAAGTGCTCAACGTCGCTCAGCATCAGGGAAATCCAAATCAAAACCTCAATGAGGTATCACCGCACACCGGTCAGAATGGCTAAAATTAACAAGTCAGGAAACGACAGATGTTGGTGGGGATGCGGAGAAAGGAGAACCCTCCTACACTGTTGGTGGGAATGCAAGCTGGTGCAGCTACTCTGGAAAACAGTATGGAGGTTCCTCAAAAAGTTGAAAATAGAGCTGCCCTACGACCCAGCAATTGCACTACTGGGTATTTAACCCAAAGATACAAATGTAGGGATCTGAAGGGGTATGTGCACCCGATGTTTATAGCAGCAATGTCCACAATAGCCAAACTATGGAAAGAGCCAAGATGCCCATCGACAGATGAATGGATAAAGAAGATGTGGTATGTGTATACACACACACACACACACACACACACACACACACACACAATGGAATATTATGCAACCATCAAAAAGAATAACATCTTGCCATTTGCAACGACGTGGATGGAACTGGAGGGTATTATGCTGAGCGAAATAAGTCAAGCAGAGAAAGACATGTATCATATGATCTCACTGATATGAGGAATTCTTGATCTCAGGAAACAAACTGAGGGTTGCTGGAGTGGTGGGTGGTGGCAGGGATGGGGTGGCTGGGTGATAGACGTTGGGAAGGGTATGTGCTATGGTGAGCGCTGTGAATTGTGTAAGACTTTTGAATCACAGACCTGTACCTCTGAAATAAATAATACATTATATGTTAAAAAAAGAAGATAGTAGGAAGGGTAAAATGAACGATGGGAAATCAGAGGGGGAGATGAACCATGAGAGACTGTGGACTCTGAGAAACAGACTGAGGGTTCTAGAGGGGAGGGGGTGGGAGGATGGGTTAGCCTGGAGATGGGTGTTAAAGAGGGCACGTATTGAATGGAGCACTGGGTGTTACATGCAAACAATGAATCATGGAACACTACATCAAAAACTAATGATGTAATGTTTGGTGATTAATATAACATAATAAAATTTAAAAAAAAAAAGTCTCAGGGAGTTTCCCGGCTGGTGGCTAAGACACTAGAATGAACTGAGCACCATCCATGGCATAGTCAGCTCCTGTGCAGTATACCAGCGGCGAGTCTCCCTTGTGGGGTCTGAGAGCAGGTGTATCCTACCCCTACAGCAGTAGTCATACAGCTTAACTAATGAGCCAGAGCTGGACCCATAGAAAGAGATGATAAATAGGTTCTGTTGAACCACAGACTAATCACTGAATATTGGTAATGGTTGGAAATGGCCAAGATGGCCAAATAGTATAAGAGAGACAGGAATTAGGAGCTTCGGTTGGAAAGCCATCCTGGGATGTTTGAGGGTGTGAGTTCCTGACACCACATTCTCTGGCCCTAAAGTATCTCAGAATGGTGCTCTCTTCATCAGCTCTGCCTTTAGGTCTACTTCCTTCTCCTTTCATCTTCTTTCCCAGTTGCTACCAAGAAGTAAAAGAGTAGTTGTGGCAAAGACAAGAAGTCAGTTTGACTAACTGCTTCTTACTTCCATCCTTCCCCTTACCTTTTATATGCTTGGCTACACAAGGATAAAAGGGAATGTGAACTCAAGTGGAGATAAAAGTCCCAGATTTTTTTTTTCACCTGTCAACCAATACCAAAGGACATTTTCATTATAACTTGAATAGAAAAAATATATATCTGACTAATAACATGAGATTAAAGATCCTGGGCATAATAATGCCAAATCCTTAAATAAATGGACATCTAAGCTCCATTAAAAATGAAGAGAAAACTCTGGCAGAATTTATTACAGGATTTTAGCCTTGAAGGCATGAAGTCATAGCTTCCCTACCTTCACAGTTTCAACCAAAAATCACCTTCTTTCAGTTAGCAATTGGGAAGAAAAACGGTATCTTTGTATCTCTTAAGAGAGTATTGAAAAATGGTAATATAATTAAGAAATTGAGAGAAATGTTAATTTTTTCTGTATTAAATTGAAGTAGGATAGGGTGAACACCACCATTTTAATGGATTGTATGATAAATTATGGGTTCACTCTCTGGCCCCCATCTGTGTGTGTAGTTTATTAACTAAAGGAAAACAAAAAGTAAAACAAGGTATTTAATCCATCCTCTCGTTCCTGTGAACATCCTTTTCCCTTATTGACCCTTGCCGTACATTTCTTAAAAACATCCTCCGTCGTTAAGATCCTGTGTTTACTGCACCAAATTGTAGTTCTTTATGTCACTTTTCTCTTTCTTCCAGAGCTTCTTTGAAGGGCAGTCCGCACCATGGGACTCTGCTAAGAAAGATGAAAACAGAATGAAGAACAGATATGGGAATATCATTGCATGTAAGTGTTAACAGTGTAATTGTGCTGTGGTATAACTTTCTTTTCACATCTGCTAAGATTGACCACCAGCCTCATGCAGTGAGAATTTACAGTGCAATTACTGCCTTCATCCTTCTGGAAAAGCTGGTATGCTCGTATTAAAGAAAGGAAAAACTACCTAAATACCCCCACTACGTCAATGTGTCTTGCTGTGGGGCTAGTTTTACTTTCAGATTTAAGGTTTTGGTAACATAGGTAATGCTAAAATGCTGAGAAAGAAAATGCATTTTAGGAGTAAACATAATAGTCCTAATGTTTCCCAGCTGCTACATGAGAATGAATAGAAATAATGATGTGCAACACACCTTAATGCAAGGAGCTCAGAGTTCTCAGCAAGCATTAACTCATTAATCCTCCAAGCACTTGGGTTAGGTAGGTCAGTAATAGCCCCATTTTAAGGACAGGAAACTGAAACTCAGAAGTTAAATGATAGTCCCCATATCAAAACACTCATTAGCAAAAGAGTGAGGATTATATCTTAGAAATTCCCAGTTCCTGTGACGCTGAATGTTATCAATCCATAATGCCTTAGACCGTTTTTAAATCGAATCCAACCTCATTAATGTTCCGTAAGGATGCTGAGACGTGTGGTAGATTGATGAACCTCCTTCTCCTGGGGCTAGAGCCATCCATCCCCTGCATTAAACTGCTCCAAGCCACACAGGACTGCCCCAAGGTACTGACAGGTACTAACAAAGTTATTAATACTATTTCTGAAGATACATAAATTCAGACAAACAAACAAACAGTGTGGGAATAGAACCAGAGAGCTTGTAACTCCTCATGTCTTACTGCTATTGAGAGAACACACTGGAAATGTTTGGGTAGTCCAGGGAACAATGTATTAGCTTTATTGATTGTGAAAGTGCTGTGAAATTTTATTTGTCTGAGTTAACATTTCTTGGAAAGACAGGAGAGCCTGCCCAACCGAAGTTTCTGTGACTATAGAAGTGTTCCATGCCTGCATTATCTGAAACAGTAGCCACACGCCCCATGAGCACTTGAAAAGTGGCTGGTGCCACCGAGGAACTGAGATTTAAATTGTATTTGACTTTAATTACTTTGAATTTAAATAATACATGAGACTAGTGGCTCCCACTATTGGACGGTGCAATGGACAGTGTGTTTTACTGTGAAAAAGGAGGGGGTGGGGTTTACACATGATAGGAAAGAACCATCCTGACTGCGCATGAGCACACCCTGTTCTCCCTCTGGCCACTCCTAAGTCCCAGCCACTGGTGTTGCAGGTGACAAGTGCTAGCTTCGAGTGTTTTGTCTGTTCATTGACTTAGTGCTTCAAGTGGTCACCTCAGAGTCCTTGTTAGTCAGAAGCTGCTTCCCTAAGATCTAAGGCTTCATTGCCCCTCAGTGGATTCAGTCAACACTATGGAGCACCAGACACCGGGCCCACAGTGAGGATTCCAAAGTGACAGGGACAAATGTGCCCGCCCACAGGACAAGGCAGAGTGGGTGGGTAACAGAGCACTGTGACATCAGTCCCATGAGGTGACACGGCACCAGGCTGGAGCTGTGTGTGCAGTGCCACCAGCCTCAGGGAAGGAGAACCTGGCTTTTCGCCGGAGGGTGGTCATGGGAGGTATTGGTTGACCAATATAGATCCCTCCAAGTTCCCTCATAGTCTCTGGGAGCAGCTAAAGCTTCGCATTGTTAGGATCCAGATTTTTCATCATGGCTTACAGGGTTCTCTCCAGGAGTTCACTCAGTGCTGCAGCAATCTCCAAGCGGGTTCACAAAGTAAAATGGGGTGTTCACAGCATGTCCTGGGCCTCCCTCCATACCAGGTGGATGGGGAGGTTGGGAACCTTTGTCCTGCAGTCCCCCTAACATCCCAGATGTGGGCTTCCTGCTGCATGCACAGAAGGCAGTGTTGATCAGTGCGATTGTCAGCATGCTCAGAGATCCAGCCGGCCTTTGCTCAATAGAACTTTCAGCCTGCTTCTTCTTGATGCCTGAGTTCAATACCTGCACTTGGTGGGCACTTGAGGAATATTTCTGAATGATGAATGAAAAAAACATTTGTTAAGCACTTCCTTTATGCTAGATGCCACTCTAAGCACTTTCCACATGTTACCTCACTCTCTTCCTGTAAGGATACCATGAAACAGGTAATATGATTGTTTCTGTCTTATAGGTGAGGCAGTTGAGGCATAGAGAAAGGTTACAGGGTTAATAAGATGTGGAAGCAGGATTCCAACCCAGGAGCAGCTTTTATAACAGTGCATGCATGGTTGGACGGTTGGTCCCTGCCGGGTTGCTTCCATGCCTGAACTTTTCTCCCTTAGCGTCATGGTCTGCAGGGGCCGGGGTAGGTGACAAGAGGCAGCTGAAAGACACTTTGGGCCCTCACCCCTTCCTCTGACCCCTACGGACCCCAGAGAGAAATTCCGGAGCTGCCACTGCCCAGGGTCTCTTGCAGAAGCTCTTTGTTGATGACTTTTGTCGTCTGTTGTCTAAGAAGGATAGTGGGGGCAGGGCCTCATGTACGGATTAGTTGTTAACCTATTATCATTAATTGTCACCTAGCTCAGAATGGTTGCAGAGGGGAACAGGATGTCAGAGGACATTTAATAATGATCTGGGGGTGAGAAAGGCAGACGACAGGACCGCCTGCATCCTGCCTGGTCTGACCTAGGGCACTACTGGCTAGAGGGCACTGGCCAGAGCGTTGGAACATAGGGTGGGAAGGGAAACAGAACAAGAGATCAGTGTGGTCTAACCTACCTCCCAACATTATTGAAATAAAAATTTATACTGTCTTTTTTTGTGTGAGGACATTGAAAAGCCACAAATTCTATGCAAATATAAAATATTTTAATTCTATTAAGTGCTGTTCTCGTCTTCAAATTGAGGCATGGAGAGACAAAATGACCTGCCTGTGATCACATGAGGAGGTAGTCGTCCTTTTGTGATGTAAAACATATTTTTTCTAATTTAATTATTTGGGAAAGTTTGTTTTTATAGACCTAGGTAGAGGTATGGCCCCTCCACGAACATGAGAATGGCCTACATTGATTGCTTCCTTTCTATGAAAAGTCTGCAGGCTCTCCATGGCATTCCAAGTGGATTCTCTCCTCTAAAGTTCTGTTCAGCCTCCAGAAGCCCCACCCACCTTGTCTCTACCTTGACCTTCTAGATATTGGGTGTGCCTCTGTTTTCCATAGAAACATTGAATGTCATTCCTCTACCTGATTTCTCCTTATGGCTGCACTGAGAGTGTGTGCTCAAATAGACCAAATAATTTATCCCTTCATTCAACAAATACTTTGTGATCACATACTATTTGCCAGACACCATGCTAGGCACTGTTACAGAAGGATGATTAAACATAATCGGGTACTGCCCTCCCAGCCATTACCATCTAGGGCAGGGCTTGGCAGACTCTTTCTGAAAAGGGCAGATAATAAATACTTTAGGCTTTGCACGCTGGCCAGTTTCAGTTCAAAACATCGACTTGCAGGTGCTGACTCCTGGTTTAGTGAAGAACAGATCCCACTGGGACAACTTTTCATTTCTACCACCCAGGGCTCACTTCTGCCACCACCATCATCATCTTCAGCCCTCAAGACCCTGCACTTAAGATGGATGATTTTAATACCCCCTGTGTATTCACTGAATGTTCCATGACTTTAGAGTCTAGGGGCCAGAGCAGACCAAGACATGCATGAACTGATAGGAGAAGGGTACACGAGTGAGGGGTGGACTAATGAGAAAAGACCTTGGGCAAAAGAGATGAACACAGGATTTGGAGCTATAAGACCCAATTGGGGTCTTGGCCCCACCGTATACTAACCAAGTGACCTTGGATAAGTCATGAACGTTCTCAATGTCAGTTTCCTGAGTTTCACCTGTTCCGGAAACAAACTTAAATGCCACATAAAAAGAACATTGATTGTTGTTAGGTGAAAAAAAATCCCATCTTTTCTTATTACTCCTGTGTTGCTCTTTACTCTTCAGTTTAGTGGATTCCATAGGTCATTTAAAAACTTTTTTTTTTAATTTATTTATTTGTCAGAGAGAGCACAAGCAGGGGGAACGGCAGGCAAAACCCCCCAAAGTTTTTAGGGACACCTGGGTGGCTCAGTCGGTTAAGCATCTGCCTTCAGCTTGGGTCATGATGCCAGAGTCTTGGGATCAAGCCCCGCATCGGGCTCCTTGCTCCGCGGGGAATCTGCTTCACCCTCTGCCTCTCTCTCTCTCTCTCTATGTCTCTCATGAATAAATAAATAAATAAATAAAAATCTTTTTTAAAAAATAAGAAAAATAAATAAAAATCAGCATTTGGAAGCCTCAAGTTCCAAGTGATGAGCTGGTAGGCAGTTGCAGGCACCACCTTGCTCCCTAATTGTTAGCACGACCCTGCACAGTGACCCAGCCCCTGATGGGCTGTGACTCTGGGCTCCATTTCTGGGTGGTTTGGTGTCACCTGGCTGATTTTCTACCTTTCACCTGCCCTCCATCCTGTTCCCTCCCCGTCTTTCAGTGTTTCTTCATCAGGTTGCATTGTTTGCTCTTGTGCTTTTCTAAAGACAACATCAAAAAGAGATTTCTTTGCCCCAGCTACACTATCATCCAGGCTCCTATTCTTCCATCTCAGTTGCTGTGACATCTGGAAGCCATTCTCTGTGCACACATGTTATCTTTTGCTTTTTTCCATGTATTTTTTTTATGTATCAGAATTATTCTATTTTTTATTGAGGTATAGCTGACACACAATGTTACGTTAGTTTCAGGTGTATCACATAGCGATTGGACAAGTTTGTTCGTTCTGTGCTCACATGATTTCATGTGCAGATACATATGAAATGATTACTGTAATCAAGCTAGTTAACAGATAGTCTCACATAGTTGCCATTTGTGAGTGTGCAGTGAGAGCCCCTGAAATCTACTCTCTTGGCATGTTTCTAGTGTTTAATATAGGATCATTAACTATAGTCATCATA